GAGTTCTCCCAAAGCTAGGGGTGTCACTCATTGAAGCTGGCTTGAGGTGCCCTGAATGTGTCTTCTAACTGCTAACATTCCACAGAAGATGAACTCCCCAGTGGGTATTAAATTTGGGGTGTGTTTCTCAACTCTAAACATGGACCTAGCTATCAACTGTTAGGAGAATTGGCTAGGATTTTTGAAAGGTCCTGTTGTGTTAGTTAACAGCCAGGACACACTAGTGGCAACCCCCACCCAAGGTGAGCTTCTGGGTAAAGGTGCCAGGCAATGCCCTTAGGGGGAGAGAGATACTCCACTATGTTTGTGTGTAGCACTGCAACTCCAAGTCCTAACCAATACATTAAGGGCACCCTCACTCGGGAAGATGTAGCTCCTCACAAAAGCAAGTGCAGCTGGAGCCCTCGGTCCCTCTGTTGCTGTGCACCTTGCTGCTGTTTCACCTCACCACCCAACACTATGGGATATCATGGTTCCTTACCCATGGCACGTGGGGGCACAAGATCTAATGGCCTGAGCACCCAGTGTCAAAGCCACCCAAAATGCCCAAGGGAGTTAGCAAGCTCCTCACTAAATGTAAAATGCCCACAGAAGTGGCCTGGGAACTGCTACTCAGCTCTGGGATATACCAATACACAAAGCACCAGTCCTGCTCATCATGGAATCTCCTTCTTAACCAGATATGTGCTCATCCCCTTTGGTCCACCAGACATCATAGATTCAGATTAAGATACCCGTTTCACCTCCCAGGCAGATCAGTTACAGTCTCTATAACGTGGAATCTTGAGGAATCTCCACCTAGTTTGCCAGCTCCAAGTGGCTGGACATCTAGAAAGGGACAATGGCCTATTCAAAGATGTGTTCCTCAAGCTTTTAAACAACAGGCAGTCCCCTACATGGACAGAAATTTTAGCCCAGTCTCCAATACTGCTTGATCCCTGGCCCTCAGGTCTCCATGCCCACTCCCCACCTGTTACCAGTCTTCTGCTAAGAACTCCCATCTAGTGCTTCAGGGAATCCCCACTCCTCTGACATCAGGAAGGACATCATACATATCTGTTCTTCCCATTGTCTCTCCATCTTCTACATGATGGCAACTTGAACAGGGGAAGATTATGCAGTCTGACCCCCTTAGGATAAAAATCCCAAGGGAAAACCCCTACTAAATTGTTTACAGATCATGATTCTACAGATTTGTTGGCCCAGATGATGATCCATAACCAGATATGAAACTAAGGCCACCAGCTTTGCCTCACTATTCAGGTGATAAATCCTGGCTAATTAAACCAGATTCATCACAGATTTTGCAGGAGATTGACATTATAGCTCCAGGACAAATAGCAGAAATGTGTGAATCTCACAGGAGAAGAGGCCCTTCACCAAGTGGATGTCAGTCACATTAGGAAATGAAACCCTGGGATCTGGTGGCTTCTATCAGCAGACCCAGGCCAAGCCCTACCCGACCACAGACAAAGAGGTAAAGAACCTCTTGCTCCAAAGCAGCCATACTGCCCTTGGTCAGCATCCAGATTTTTTGCCCCAAAGGATGCCCCTGCAAGCTACCCAAATGTAAATCCTCCCCTTGGTTGTGACTATTACTCTTACTGTGCACAGCCTGGATAATAGGGTTGCTAGTAGACCCCCTGTCTCAGGAGATGTACGGGAACAAACCAGCCAGGTACACAACTGCACTGCAGGATTGCTAAGTGCTGGTGCTGGCAGGTTCTGTTAGAAGAGCTTTGACCAGCATGCCACCAGGCATGGATTCTGACCCATAGATCACCTCCTTCTACATTAAATGATACCAATGGAAGCAATGCTTAAAAGAGTCACTCCCTCTTTATCCATGGCCCTCTCAATGTAACCAAATCCTATCCACCCACCTGGTGGGTTTGTGCTCTAATGACCTTACAATAGTTTTAATGGCGCCATCTCTGGATTATAAAAGTGCCATCCATAAAATGTCCCTACAATGAGACTATTCATGTGCCTAGGATTCATATGCATTGTGGATGGGGTCCCCTCAAAGCTTGGTCACAGATATCATGAAATCTTTGCAAGGTACACTCCTGATGATCTGACAAAGCCCACTGAAGTCTCCTCACCTAGCAGTAGAGCCCACACTTGTAGTTCCATCCTGAGCCAGCCTCTAGCACAAATACTCAGAATGTAACACTGGCAGCCACTCCTACCCTTCATGAATCTCCATCTGGGAAGGCCACTTCTCACCAGGCTGGCCTCTGTCATCCCTAAGTATACCAACACTTCAGAGACAATGACCCAGCCCAAGAGCTCACAGTTGGAGATGACAGTGAAAGGGTCTCTCCTTTCTGCTCTGGATGCCTGTGCTTGGCTTCTTCTCTGGATGCATGAATCTTCCTCAGTTTTACAGATAGTTGTTTTTCTGGGCAGGATGTCTGCTCCACCTGTGTTCATCATCTTTAGCCAACACTCTTCTCTGGCATCCTCTTGGGCAGAAGTAAACCAATGCTGCATCAGTGCTACACATCAGGAGTTTCTCACTTAAACTCTCACATACATGGCCCACAAAGACCAGCCAGGCACCCCTGAACCAGTGCTGGCTTTACTGCGATGCTGTGGGAAACAGAGTGAAGCACCCCTGCAAGCCCCAAATCCTTCCCAAACCAGCCCTATTACTGGAGTGCACTGGGCAACTTGTGGTGGGAGATCATTCAGCACTCCATTGTCTTCACCAGACACTGGGGATTCTGGGGTTTCTCAGAGGTTTGCCTCTACATGCATCAACCCATCCCTGTTTCTCCACTGGTGTTTGGGAGGCATTTAGACAGATTTCCAGGTCTGTGGCTGGCTGCTACAGAATCAGTATTCCAGTAATTGTATTAACCTTTAATGTGCTGAGCCACTTTTGTCCTTTTATTCTGGTTATTGCTACCCTATCCATGCTTTCTGTCAGGTGGAGAAGGAATTGTATTGACTCACACAACTTTGGCTAAGAAACCTTTGGAAAGAAGATGAGGGGACAAAGAAAGACTCTTCCTTAAAACTTCCACGTGCCCTGTAGATTCTGGGGAAGGACACATGAAGTAAGTGTGTAAGGAAGCATACTGTATGCACTATGAGCCTCAAGGCTTCACTCCCTCAGACCCAGCCTCAGCATATCATGCTCCTCTACTCCACAGTTCTGGGTGCTGGCCATGGGACTTGCTTTGACAAATGGGATGCTAACAGGTGCAACACTCATGCTAATGCAGTTGGATACCCTCTTGCACTGCTAGTGCTTGGGTCTCATCTGCCTCCCAGCCTCGAAGCACAGCCATCCCAGCCACCCACAGACATGAATGTAAGACATAGATTCTAGTGACCATAAGACATGGAGATGCCATAAACCTGTATTATAGTGCATGCGCTGACTGATAGAGATTTTTCTCCAGGCCCCCATTTTTTCTATGATATGAACTACACTTCATGTTCTAAGGGTGGTGACCACAAGTCCCCACATGGCCTTAGGGTTCCCAGGCCAGCTGTGGCCTCAGAAATCCCCACATCTCCTAATGGTTGGAGGTGTGATACAGTATTCCCTGGAAGAAACCTATCAACCAGATCAATTTTTTTCCAGTAATTTTTAAAAATTATTTTTAATACGTAAAATTTAATGTGTAAGATGTTATTCCCAATATCAACATAAAAAAGTTTAGAGATACAAAAGCCTTATAGTGAAAATATCCCCTCCCTCCCTCCCCCACACCAGGTCCTGGGCCTCTGTCCAGACATAGGCTGTGCATATACCTGCCCAGATTTAACTCCACTGTGACAAATAGCACTCTCTCCCTATCTCATAGTTTTCACTTTGGAAATCAATGCACATCAGCAGTTAGGGTGCCTCCTCACACTTTTAGTTAGCTGCATCATATTCTGTACCTGAATATATCAGAATATATTTAATGGTGCCTTGTGATAGACAGTGAGGTGTCCAAATGTAATGCAACTGCTAACAATATTGCAGTGCATGACCTGAGACAAATGCCACTCCTATGAGTGATTGTATGGCTGCAAAATAATTTCTGTGTACTTTCTACCTTGACAGATACTGACAGAGTGCCTTCCATAGACACTGGATCAATTCCATACTCCCTTCACCAATGTATGAGAGTATCCATTGACCCACAACCTTGCTAACAAGAATCATGTTCCTTGACCACCTAGTAGCTGGAAATGGTAACTCATTGGACCTTTAATTGTATTTCTCTCATTAGAAGTGAGAAGTGAGGTTGAACTTCCATTGGTGGTTGATGGCTTAAGAGATATATGCTTTTGCTTTCCGGCAAAGCTTTTTTCTGTGTCCTTATGGCCTTTGGCAGTTTTCTATAGGTAATTGTAGGAAACCTTCTAGTAAGGACATGAGCACTTTTTATGTAAATATCTACCCTAGTCTGTGTTTGCCTCTTGACTGCGTATATATTTCTAGTTTTCGGTGTGGAACTTTTTTTAACTGTCTTATAGTTGAATCTATCACTTTTCATTTATGGTTTTGCGGTTTTCATGCTGGGAAACGCTTTCCCTAAAATAAGATTACAAAAAAAATTTTTTTAATCTCAAGTTTTTTCTAGTTATCTTTATGGTTTTATATTTTAGTTTTAAAGCCTTCGTCTGTCCAAAATTTAGTCTGGTGTAAGGTAGGAGGCAGATAAATTCTCTTTTCCCCCAGATATCTAGACAGTTATGCCGACTCATTTCTTAAATGGTCCTATTTTTCTCACTGATTTGCATTGCTCTCCTCATCCAATATCAGCTTCCCATTTCAACCTAATTCTGTCTCTGGAATCCAGCTGAAACAGGAAACATCTCTCCTGACTGGTTCCACCAAAAAAAGAGTGATTTAGTCTACTCTGGGAGATAAAACCGTGCTTCACATTTGGCTAAGACTGCATTCTCCCCGGAACCTATCAGAGTTCAGTGGGGAAATGGACAATTCATCAGAAACTTATGAGTGCTACTGACTGTACCCACCTGACACCCACCTGAAAGCTGGGCTTAGCAGGGCTCCAGTGGCAGAGTGAGCAGTGGGCAGATGATGAACAGCATAGGCTTTGAGGCAAAGAGGCCAAGACCAGGGTGTGAGACCAAAGAAGACATTTGTGTAAATACAGTTAGAAATAAAATTTTTCACTGTAAGAGAAAAAAGATGCAAATATAAAGTAAACTAATCTTCAATGTAAAATTGGAATTTTAAATATTAATACAAGTTCATGATTTAAAAAATAAGTCTCCTACCTCTAGCCACTGAAAAGGCCTAGAAACTGATATCCTAGCGGTAATGATCACACCCAGAGTGCAGTTTTTGGTTTCCAAATACCCCCTCACCAACAGAAACCAGGGCTCCTTGGAGAAATGACCAGTTCTGGTGCAGGGACAGGGAAAGGACAGGTGAAGCTGGGATGCTTTGTTAGGCCAAAACGAAAGAAATGCTTCAGTCAAAAGGACTCAGAAGGCACCTTGAAGGGGCTTCTGCTGGATAAATTTGGAAAAACGTAAGCATCAAACAGACTAATGATTATAAGGTATTATAAAGCAAATAATAACTAAAAATGTGAATCCATAATGTGAGGGGGATGAGGGAGAGAAAGATGCAGTGGGTAGAGATAAATTGTCAAATACTCAGGCAAAAATAATATTATGACAAAGTGTTAACAATTGTTGAAGCCAGGTGGTGGGTAGACAGATGTTCATTGCAATCTTCCTTTTACATTTCTGTACACTTGAGAATATTCGTTCTAAAAAGTGGAGGAAAACAAAAGCTCCCAGGTGGTCCCAATGTACAGCTGCATCCTGCACTTGAGGGAAAGAGCAGGTGGGTTTCCACCAATGAGTGAAAGCGGTAGTCCCGAGGCAAGTGTGAGAGTGAGAGGAGTGTTTTTGTGTGTTTGTGAGTATGTGGGTGAGTGATTTTGTGAGTTTGTATGTGACTGTTAATACGTGAGTGTGTAAGAGGTTTTGTTCCTGTGTGCATCACTGTGTAAGTATGTGTGAGTCTATGTGTGAGGATATATGTGAGTGGGGTGTTGTTTGTGTGTGTGAGTGTATGAAAGTGACTAGTGAGTCTGTGAGAATATGAGATTGTGACAATGTGTGGTGTGAGTGGGGTATTGTTTGTACATATGAGTATGTGATTGTGTATGTGAGTCAATGTGTATATGTGTATCACTGTGATTTTTGTATATGTGAATGAGAGTGTGTGTACGTGGGAGTGTGTAAAGATGAATGAATATGTGTGTGAGAGTCTGGGTGAGTGTGTACACATGGGAGTGCATGCATGACTGTGAGGGTGTGTGTGCATGAGTGTGTATGTGTAAGAGTGTGGGTGTGTGTACACAGGAGAGTGTGTGTGTGTGTGTGTGTGTGCATGTGCCAGGAGCTGGGACAGCACTGTCTGTTTCTGTGAGGATTTCAGCATCAGGGGAACACTCTGGCCCTGGGAAGCAGCTGCTGGGGGGAGTACAGTAGGCCCCCTTCACGTACACCCTGCTCCAGAAAGCCCTTCCCTGCATGCACAGTCTCTCTGTGCCCTTCCCCTCTTCACTCCTCCACTCTCCCTCCATAGCCTCCCTCGCACTCACACCCCCAGAGTTACACCAGGCCCCACGACATCACCTCTCACTTCCAGTCCAGGCTCTCTGGGAGCTGCCTCTTTCCTTCCTTCCAGGCCAAGATGACTAAAAGCAGACTCTGACCAAGTCCAGAGAGCCTGTGCATGGACCTGCTTTACAGGCCAGACATGCCCAGGGCCTATATCCCCAGCAAAAGGCCTCCTCCAGCTTCTCCTGAGCCTCCCACTCTTCTTTCCTCCCCCAGCTTCCAACTGGAGCCAATGATTTTCTAACTTAGCAGCAACAAGACCACCCAGCTTTTGAGCTCTTTCCCATGTGCTGCTGACATGCCTCGCACTGAAAGGCAGGCTAGCCACTCTGTAAAACAGTATAGATGTTACTCAAAAAATCAAAAATAGAACTACCCTACAACCCAGCAATTGTACTACTAGGTATTTACACAAAGGATACAAAAATGCTGGTTCAAAGGGACACACACACCCCAATGTTTATAACAGCACTAACAACAATAGCCAAATTATGGAAAGAGCCCAAAAGTCCATCAACTGATGAACAGATAAAGAAGACGTGGTATATATATATATATATATATATATACACACACATATATATATGAATATTATATGGAACATATATAATTATATGGAATATTACTCAGCAGTCAAAAAGAATGAAACCTAGCCATTTGCAACAACTTGGATGGAAGTAGGGTGTATTATGCTATGCGAACTAAGTCAGAGAAAGATAAATATCATGATTTCACTCATATGTGGAATTTAAGAAACATAACAGACGAACATAGGGGAAGAGAAGGAAAAATAAGATAAAAACAGAGAAGCAAACCATAAAGGATTCTTAAATACAGAGAACTGAGGGTTGCTGCAGGGAAGTTGGGTGGGGAGATGGGCAAAACAGGTGATGGGCATTAAGGAGGGCACTTGTTGGGATGGGGACTGGGTGTTATATGTAAATGATGAGTCCCTGGGTTCTACTCCTGAACCAATAATACACTGTAGGTTAACAACCCTGAATTTTAAAAAATAAATTAAAAATTAAAAAGGCCGGCTGGGTTCACTTTGAATTTACTGGAGCTGTGTCTAGGGGGAAAATGCTGGGTCATTTCCAAGATGAGGTCATGACAGGTGATAGAGTCCACCTGGGACACCCCTATGAGAGCCCAGGTGCCATGTTTTGGGTGGGTTTTTTTTTGTTTTTGTTTTTAGGGTTTTTTTGTTTTTAGGTTTTTACTTTAATTACATTTTGTTAACATACAGTGTTATATTAGTTCCAGGTGTACAATATAATGATTCAGCACTTCCATATATCACCCAGTGCTCATCACAAATGCACTCCTTAATCCCCATTACTTATTTCACCCATTCCCCCACCCACCTCTCCTCTGGTAACCAACAGTTTGTTCTCTATAGTTAAGAGTCTGTTTCTTGGTTTCTCTCTCTCTGTCTCTGTCTCTGTCTCTCTCTCTCTCTCTCTTTACCTTTGTTCATTTGTTTTGTTTCTTGAATTACACATATGAGTGGAAATCATATGGCCTTTGTCTTTCTCTGACAGACTTATTTCACTTATCATTATACTCCCTAGATCCATCCACATCATTGCAAATGGCAAGACTTCATTCTTTTTTATGGCTCAGTAATATTCCTCTTCTTTATCAATTCATCAGTTGATGGACACTTTCTGCTTCCATAATTTGTCTATTGTAAATAATACTGCTATAAACATTGAAGTACGTGTATTCCCTTGAATTAGTGTTTTTGTAACTTTGGATAAATACTTAGAAGTGTGACTGTGGGATCATACAGAAGTTCTACTTTAATTTTTTGAGGAAACTCCATACTGTTTTCCAGAGTAGCTTCACCAGTTTGCATTCCTTCCAACAGTGTAAGAGGGTTCCCCTTTTCTCCACATCCTAATACCTGTTGTGTCTTGTGTTGTTGATTTTAGTCATTCTGACAGGTATGGGTTGATATCTCATTGTAATTTTGATTTGCATTTCCCTGATCGTGAGTCATGATGAACATCTTTTCATGTATGATGGCCATCTGGATATTTTCTTTGGAAAATGTCTGTTCTGCCCATTTTTTTTAAAGATTTTATATTTAAGTAATCTCTACAACCAATGTGGGGCTCAGACTCACATCCTGAGATCAAGAGTTGCATGCTCTACCAACTGAGCCAGCCAGGTAACACTGCGCACCATTTTTTTAATTGGAGTATTTGTTTTCTGGGTGTTGAGATTTATAAGTTCTTTATATATTTTAGATACTAATCCTTTATCAGATATGTCATTTGCAAATATCTTCTCCCTTTCTGTAGGCTGCCTTTTAGTTTCGTTGATTATTTCCTTCACTGTGCAGAATCTTTTTATGTTGATGAAGTCTCAATAGTTTATTTTTGCTTTTATTTCCCTTGCCTCAAGAGACATACTTAGAAAAAGTTGCTAGCTGATGTTAAAGAGCTTACTGTATGTGTTCTTCTCTAGGGTTTTGATGGTTTCAGGTCTCACGTTTAGGTCTTTCATCCAGTTTGAATTTATTTTTGTGTATGGTGTAGTGGTCTAGTTTCATTCTTCTGCATGTTGCTGTCCAGATCTCCCAGCACCATTTGCTAAAGAGACTGTCTTTCTTCCATTGGATACTCTCCTGCTTTGTCAAAGATTAGTTGGCCATATATTTGTCAGCCCAATTCTGCATTCTCTATTCTATTCCATTGGTCTATGTGTCTGTTTATGTGCCAATACCATATTGTCTTGATGACTACAGCTTTGTAGTGGAGGCTAAAATCTAGGATTCTGATCCCTCCTGCTTTGGCTTTCTTTTTTAACATTACTTTTGCTATTTGGACTCTTTTCTGGTTCCATACAAATTTTAGGATTCTTTGTTCTAGCTTTGAGAAGAATGCCAGTGCAATTTTGATTGGGATTGCATCGAATGTGTAGATTGCTTTGGATAGTATTGACACTTTAACAATATTTATTCTTCCAATCCATGAGCATGGAATGTTTTTCCATTTCTTTGTGTCTTCTTCAATTTCCTTCAAAAGCTTTCTATAGTTTTCAGCATACAGATCTTTTACATTTTTGGTTAGGTTTGTTCCTAATATTTTATGGCTCTTGGTGCAATTGCAAATGGGATCGATTTCTTGATTTCTCCTTCTGTTGCTTCATTATTGGTGTATAGAAATGCAACTGATTTCTATACATTGATTTTGTACCCTGCAGCTCTGCTTAATTCATGTATCAGTTCTAACAGCTTTTTGGTGGAGTCTTTCGGGTTTTCCATGTAGAGTATCATGTCATCTGTGAAAAGTGAAAGTTTGACTTTTTCTTTGCTAATTTTTATGCCTTTTATTTCATTTGTCGTCTGATCGCTGATGCTAGGACTTCCAACACTATGTTAAACAACAGTGGTGAGAGTGGACATCCCTGTTGTTTCCTGATCTCGGGGGAAAGATCTGTTTTTCCCCCATTGAGGATAAGATTAGCTGTGGGCTTTTCATATATGGCTTTTATGATGTTTAGGTATGTTCCTTCTAGCCCAACTT